TATTTACCCTAATATAAGTTGATGACTATCAAATATCAATCGATAAATATGTGTCAATTTGACGTATATATGATAATATATATAAACATATAATAAGACGTATTTTAAAACTAGAAAACGTTTATAACGCGTACGTATGCGTATCCGTATGCCGAACGTTTAATATGCATAGTAAGCCGTATTTTATAAAATCCTAACGTATTATACACGAACGTACGTATTTACGTATTATACGTTTGCCGTATATTACTAATTATGGTTATACATACGTAAGTATAATACGTGTATAATACGTGTATTTTTGAAAATAATACGCGTATTAACTAACTAGAGTCCAATCCACAGCCATTGTACAAATCCTTTTTTTAGAACCCAAAAACCCATTCCAATTCCCAATCGTCAGTGACGCTGCGTCTCAACTTGGCCGACGACGCTTCCAACCGAGTGAACCGCCATCCGCCGACGCTTCTCAACTTGGCCGACGACGGAACCGACGACGCTTCTCGGAAAGTCAGAATCACAGTCGGCCGACGATTCTCAGCCGATTCTCAGACGGGTGACGGGCGACGATTCTCAGATTTCCTATCTCATTTTTGTTTCGAAAGGCTTCAATCGAATCTGCGAAGGTATGATGAGTATTGTTGTAGATGATTAATCACGGTCAACTCCTCAGTAGTCAGCCCTATCTAATCTTCTTCTCCACCATCTTCTTCTCCAGATTTCCAGGTAATAGGCTTTTACTTTTCACCTGATTTCAATTCTTATATAATATGATATCTGTCAAAATTTAAAACTAAAAAAAAACGTGGGTTAACAAACTGAAATGTAGAGGCATCCATTTGATTTCAATTTCTTTTCACATTTTGCGATTCTCAAACTGAAATGTAGAGCCATCCACCTGTGGAGGCATCCCCCTGATTTCTTTACAATTTATTTGTACTGTTTTTTTATCTAGCAAAATAAAAAATTGAACTCAATTTTAAGCATGGATTTGGTCTTTTCGGTCTTCCCGGTTAGGTCCATGTGATTTCGGTCCGGTCTGGTCCAAACCCGAGATCATTTAGGTCCGGTCTTCGGTCTAAGTTTTGGCATATTTCGATCTTCGGTCCGGTCCGGTCCGATCTGGTTCGGTTCGGTTCGGTTTTAGACCAATGAACACCCTATATGCATCTCCCACCTGACATTATTACATCAAATATTTTAAGTCTACCTTATAATTATAGAACATGTGAAAAGTCAACAAGGCTCATTTAAAATTACTTTTGAACATTGATACTTACCCTTATTGCTCTTCTTGCTCAATGCTTTCCCAATGAACAAAACTCAGCAAGCACCTTAAGTGACATGTCATCAAAACAGACTCCCATTTTCTTATTAAAATGGAAAAGTTAGGTCTTTTACACTATGTTTGGTTCAAGGATTTTGGAAGGAAAAGAAAAGAAAATGATTTTTTCTCATTTTCCTCACCAAAAGGGAGGATTTTGGTTTTCCCTCCGGTTAGTACATTTGTCTTCTCATTTTCTTTTTCTCCCACTTTTCCTCTCCAACCAAACATGAAAAACTGTTTTCCAATTCATTTTCTTTTCTTTTCCCTTTCAAATTCCTTGAACCAAACATAGCTTTAAATTTTCATTCATAAACGTCATACTTAAATCTATCTGTTATAGTCACAAACTGTCACATGAACATCTGCTCTGTTCTTCTATCTTCTCCTCTACTTCTGTTCTATTGACGCGGATCGGGGACTCACTGGAATCGCCTATGTGCCGTCGGTGTTTGAGGGCTCCCACTGACGGGGAAGAATGCCGCTGCCTTTTTGGAATGCGGCCGCCATGGACCCTTCGCTCTTGTTGTCCGCCGTAATCAGAAGGTAGCCGACGCTAGCCAGTGGGATTCGTCGGTTTCTAGGTGATGTGTCGCTGGCTGGATCTGCTGTCAGCCGCCGGCATGACCCCGATAATGCCGCCACAGCCGAATTGCGGAAAATTTTCTATTCTTCTTCACCACTGCCTTCCACTGGGTAGAGAGATGCCGCCGCACCCTCCAGGTATTCTGATAATTGAATTCCTTAACTTTCTAATTTTGTAATTTTTCTTTCTTTCTTTCATGGTTTCATTCTTTGGATTTTAAATCTAGGGTTAATTGTTAATTAACAATTTAAAATCTTTGCTCATTGCTGAATGAGTATATGTTTCCATATCTTCCTTATTTGATTTGGATGAATAGCTTTGAATTTATGATATATATATAAAAAACTGAAATTATTTGCTTAGCTTGCTCCAAAAATATTACTCCGTATCATGAAAACATTGCATAAGGCAAGCACCATGGTCCAAACAACCTTTTATGTTTCTATTGTATGCATACATCACTTACGGAAAGAGGTTGAACTAAGACACATATACCTTTTGCATTTCAATCCTTCTCGGGGTCCAAGACGGTAAATTAGTTAGAAACCTTTTGTATGGTGATAAAAACATAGTAAGAAACCAAAAACATAGTGAGGTATTTCCTCCATGATTGACTGGTAAAAGTAAACTAAGACAGACTTTGTCTCTACAAAATGGCATCACCGTGTCAAAAGCACTTTTCAAGTGGTCAAGCCATAAGATTGCCGTTCTGATACCATTTACAGAAGTGAAATAGAATGAGTTCTACTGGCATCCAGTATTCAAGATACACATAGAACAATTTGCTCTTCAGAATGTAAGGAGAAATTCTCAAATCCTCAGCTAGCTTTTATGGTACATAATAACAACACTGTGATTTTGTCATTCATTTATATTCTTATAATAATATTGCGTCAATTATCATTTAAGTGCACTTAGTTTACATATGTTAATTTGTTAGACCATTAGTGATAAACTTTTTAAGGCCTTTTTATTTGTCTTGACCCAGGCCATTGAATTCTCAAGACCGGCCCTGCGTTCCATTCTGGTTCCGATTAGGAATATAAGAGCATTGTAAAAAGTGTATATTGTTAAATATACACTTTATACACTACTATATATACATGTTAACCCCTCCAATGGATAGTGTAAAAAATGCATTTTAGTCCAAAATGCACTCTTACAATCTTGTAAAAACAATTATTACTAAAATAATTTTTTGTTTTGCTTTTCATGTTTAATTTATTTAAAATATCTAACCATTATTAAATTGTTATTACTCTTTCAATACTTTATAGTTTTATAAATATTTTTCTACTTAAATGTTTTAGCAAGATATTGATTTTTTAATTATATTTTCATTTGCTAATTTTTTATTTCATGTTTCTTAACACTCTATTACCATACTTTAAAATATATGTGCCATTAAGTTTTTAAAATCTATAAATCTTATCACAAATAAATAACTTAAAATACTAAAATAAGATAAAATTGTATTATATAGAAGATATGATTGGAGTGGATATAACAAAGTGGATGTGTAAAACACTATTGGTAGTGTAAAATTGAATATAGCCTTCCTATTTTTACACTTTCCATTGTAGATGTTCTAAGTGGAATTAGTTTCTTAAAATTTACACTTTGACCCTAGATTTCAAAACTAATTACAAATTGGTGTCTCATCATACTTGATCTCAAATTTTAACAATGTTCACAAATCAATATAAATTTACCAACCTAACCAATGCTCTGTTTTATAGTCCAATTGCATCATAGGTTTTACTATGATAAATATGTGTTGGACTAACAATGTAAAAATAGGTCATCTAGTAATAGTAGGCAGATTTGGATTGAATTAAGAATCTGAATGCTAAAATGTTTAAAACTAAGATTTATGCCTAGTGGGGTGAGCTTTGCATAACTCACATGTTTTGGGCTAAAAATGTAGGTACGGGAGTTCGTGACATGTCTCACAGTATTAGATAGGAGCTTCAACCTGCCTCAGAGAACTTCTCTGGTTTCGAGAGTGACTCGAGGCAGTGTCTGGAATAACCACGACTCTAGTGTCATGTGGTTAAAGCTTAGCCTAATAGGTTTAGTGTAGAAGAACAAACAAGATGTGAAGTGAAATAAATGAACTGATAATGATACTAAAAAAATGATATTTGCTGATTGTTCTGATATTGTGTGATTATATGTTGCTGGTCGCTAGTCTACGAATTAGTTTTGGCGTTAGATACTTCCACGTTCCAAATTTCACTAGTAGGGATCAAGGATTGGACGAGGAGCAGTGTGAAGAAATCCAGTTTTGGTCGTTCATATCTAGATCTTAGAAATCTGATTCAGATATGTAAGGCGATCAGCGGCGAGGAAGGATCTTCTTCTTCTTCTTCATCTTCAGATCTTCTATTCTTCCAACACGGTGTGGGACAGATCGATTTGAGCGTGAAAAGATTCCCACAAGAATTCTAAAATGTTGATGCTAGGGAAAATTTTCACTGACCGGAAATTTGATCGATTTGGGCTGTTCTGGCCGGTTGTGTTGGGTCGGGGGAAGCAATTTGGGTAGGATAGGTATGGGTGGGGATGTGGGGTAAGGTGGAGGGTTTTGTGGGAAAGTCAATGTAAATTTCAACTTTTATTAAACTTCGTGCCCGGTCAAAATGGGAACATTAACATGGACCGAGGGAGTACATAATTTCATATTGACCCTCCAAAGCAAACACAATCGCCTCAATGTCTTATATTGAGAAAAGTAAATTCATTTTGACCACTCCTAATTTATGAAACTGTTGGAAAAATAAATAATAGGTATGTTTCTTTTTTATGAAACTGTTGGAAAATATCCCCTTAGTCGCATACATAGGGCTATCAAATCAATTATTTTAAATCAGACAATTCATAAAGTTTACGTTATATGCAACATCTGAGGTTGAATGCATGGAAGAAAAAGATACAAGTCTAGCTAATCCACTGTTAAAAGTGAAAATCAAGAGCGGACAGTTGACATATATATATATATATATATATATATATATATATATATATATATATATATATATATATATGGGATTGACTCCAATGAGATGACACCTTAGGGTGAGATGACATGCTTCGGTCAGATGACACAAAGCTCATCACTCGCCACTGCAAAGCTCACCAAAGACAACTACAAAGCTCACCAAACTGTAAGGTAAACCTCACCATATTTTTTCAAAACTTTGAATTTTTTTTGAAAAAATATAATCAAAGGAAGGGGTGCTGACTGGACTTTGACTGTTGACCGTCAGCATTGACTGCCGCCTGCCGCCGCCGCCGCCGGACTCCGGCCTCCGCCGCCGCTAGACTCCGGCCTCCGCCGCCGGACTCCGGCCGCCGCCGCCACTGCCGCTGCCGTCGGTCGCCGCCGCCGGACTCCGGCTGCCGCTGCTGCTCCGCCGCCGTTGACCGGTGGTTGACCGGTGTTATTGTTTTATTTTTAATTAATTTTTAATTTTTAAAATTTAAAAAAAAGGTGAGTTTTGGGGTTCAAAGTGGTGAGCTTTGCTTTATTTCCAGGTGAGCTTTGCATTGTGCATTGGTGAGCTTTGTAGTGTAGTGTGGTGAGTTTTGCGTCATCTGACCGAAGCTTGTCCTCTCACCGTAAGGTGTCATCTCACTGGAGTCAATCCCCATATATATATATATATATATATATATATATATATATATATTCTTATCAGTTTAATATCTGATATGTGGGCCATCGGTCCATACGATATTAACTCAATTTTTTAAGGGGGAAGGCCCTGAAAAGTAGCTTGCTACTTGGTCCTTCACGTGTCGCCTTGGGCTTGCACTACATCCTTGGCCCGGCACACCCCACCAAATATATATATATATATATATATATATATATAGTAACCTTACTCTTAAACATAGAAGACAACAATATGTATTGATTGTTGACCCAAGTACTAACCATGAAAAGTTAAAAGGTAAACAACAAAAAGAAAAAAGAGAGGGTAATATGTTAGAATACCAAGAAACAGACTTGTTAAAAGAAAAAATGTCAACAGTATGCCCGAAAAATTAGGCTTCAACAAATTCATATTCATCACAAACAATTTTGTGAGTGAAATTGTAAGAAATTTCAAAGCGAGCAAAAACAATAGGTCAAGCCCAAAATCACAAAAGAGCAAAAGGGGAAAGAGCTCAACTGAGTGAGCTGAGCAAGTTAAAGGTTAGAATTAATGCCAAATGCATGGCCATTTCTTCTGCACTTGGTACATCTACATGAGCTTTGCACATAGGCTAGTGTAAACCTGCTGAGATTATACACTAACAGCGTCAGTAAAAGAGTGAGAAGTTAAGTCCAACTCTTCTGTACATGGGATAAATATTTTTCTATTGCAATGCCATAGAGATGCAAGAGTGGTGGAATGCATGGTTGCAATAATGGAGTTCACCAAGCTCATCTTCGGTCATGTAATCCCCCTACACTAAAAATCACAATAAACAGATTCAAATGAATACACACAAAATGTGTATGAATAGTAAGTTATTCGGTTTCAAATGCTTAAAGAAACAGGGACTCACAACAACAACCCAATATGATACTACGATAGTTGAGGTCATGGGGAGGGTAAGGGTACACTGTTCTTGTAGAGAGGTTGTTTCCAAGTGACTCCCGACTCAAACAACATAGATAAAATAAGATTAGCAAAAAGTCCATACAAGCCAAGAGTGAACTAATTAATGTCAAATGAGAGAGCAAGTTAAACTAACGTGTATGATAAGTGAGCGAACTAATTAAACGAAACAAAAACAAAGCAAGCAAAGGGAGAGAATATCAAAAGTTCATCAACAAACTCCTAACTTGAAACAAAAAGTAAATCATATCAGACAGGATTGGGCAGGGATTCCGATGCATGGCAGGTTCGTAAAGAACTGGTTTAAAAGGTCTGTCAACTAGTAGTGGCGGAACCCCATCTTTAATCATCTCTAGTAAAGCCTCAACAGTGACGACCTTTTATTCTAGAATTTCAAGCTCTTCAGAATTGTTCTGGAAAAAATCTTGCAATTCATGGCCATTCTAGAAACAAAACAACAAGTTTAGGCATACAAAACAGCATAAATAGTTCAATAGAATTAAGATTTTTCCTTTTTCAAGTTTAAAATGTATACCTTAAATGCGATGTCATGCAAAAGACTTGTCAATTCAACCTGCATGTTAATAAGACTTCTTCGGTGTTCATTCTCTGGAATGCCTTGAAAAAACATAAGAGAATTGGTAAATAGAAAATACATATACATAGCAGTGGTATATCGAAAATAGGTAAATAAAAATTCTCCGTAGCTCATTTACCGCTGCATTTAGTACTTCTACCATTAGTGCTTCCAGCTCAGGTGAAATACGGCGTGCCATCTGAACTAAAATATCCATTGGTTCATTTTGTGACATCCAATGCATTCTTCTTAACAAATTCAGAGCGTCATGAAGAGATTGGGATTCCATAATCTGTAAAATACGACGAAAATAAAGAGCCAATTTAAGAGAACTTGAATTCCTTCGTACATAATTCGAACAAAAACTAAAAAACAAAGATTCGAGAAAACAAACACTATGCAAAGTAATTTTTCAGAAAATATAATTTTTTTCAGACAATGTAATTTGGATCGGAGAGAGTAGAAAATATTACATTGTCAGAAAATATTACTTTGCATAGCGTTTGTTTTCTTGAACCTTTGGTTTTTAGTTTTCATTCTAATTTTGTGTGAAGGCATTCAAGCTCGCTAAAATTGGTTGTTTATTTCCGTCGTATTTTACAGATCATGGAATCTCAGCCTCTTCGTGACGCTCTAAATTTGTTAAGGAGAATGCATTGGATTCTGGATCAGATGGCACGCCGTATGAAGCACTAATGGTAGAAGTACTAAATGCGACAGTAAATGAGCTACAGAGTATTTTTATTTACCTATTTTCAATATACCACTGCCATGTATATGTATTTTCTGTTTACCTATTATCTTATGTTTTTTCAAGGCGTTCCGGAGAATGAACACCGAAGAAGTCTTATTGACATGCAGGTTGAGTTGACAAGTCTTTTGCATGGCATCGCATTTGAGGTATACATTTAACTTGAAAAGGGAAAAATCTTAATTCTACTGGATTATTTATGCTGTTTTTGTATGCTTAAACTTGTTGTTTTGTTCCTAAAATGGCCATGAATTGCAAGATTTTTTTTTGAACAATCGTGAAGAGCTTGAAATTCTGGAACAAGAGGTCGTCACTGTTGAGGCTGTACTAGAGATGGTTGAAGATGGGGTTCTGTAGTTGACAGACATTTTAGACCAGTTCCTATCGAACTTGCCACGCATCAGAGTCCCTGCCCAATCTGTCTGGTACGATGTACTTTTTCTTTCAAGTTAGGAGGTTGTTGGTAAACTTTTGATTTTCTCCCCTTTGCTTGCTTTGTTTTTGTTTCTTTTAATTAGTTCGCTCACTTATCATATACATTAGTTTATCTTGCTCCCTCATGAATTAGTTCGCTGTTGGCTTGTATGGACTTTTTGCTAATCTTATTTTATTTATGTTGTTTATGTCGGGAGTCACTTGGAAATAGCATCTCTATCCTTGAGTAGAAACAAGAGCTGTGTACAATTACCCTCCACATTCCCTCTACTATCGTGGGATCATATTGGGTTGTTGTTGTGAGTCCCTGTTTTTTTAAGCATTTCAATACTAAATAATTTACTATTCATACACATTTTGTGTGTATTCATTTAGATCTGTTTATTGTGATTTTTGGTGTAGGGGAATTACATGGCCGGAGATGAGCTTGGTGAACTCCATTACTGCAAGTCTGCAACCATGCATTCCACCACTCTTGCACCTCTATGGCATCACAAAGGAAAAATATTTGTCCCATGTGCAGAAGAGTTGGACTTAACTTTTAACTCTTTTACTGACGCTGTTAGTGTATAATGTTAGTGTATAATCTCAGCATGTTTACGCTGGCCTATGTGCAAAGCTCATGTAGATATACCAAGTGCAGAAAAAATAGCCATGTATTTGGCATTAATTCTAACCTTTAACTTGCTCAGCTAACTCACTTGAGCTCTTTCCCCTTTTGCTCCTTTGTGATTTTGGTTCTGACTTTTTTTATGATGCAAGTTTGGGCTTGACCTCATAAAACTTGCATATGATGAATATGAATTTCTTGAAGCCTTATTTTTCAGGCATATTGTTGACATGTTTTCTTTAACAAGTCTGCTTCTTGGTATTCCAACATATTACCCTCTCCTCTTTCTTTTTGTTGTTTATCTTTTAACTTTTCATGGTTAGTACTTGGGTCAATAGTCCATACATATTGTTGTCTTCTATGTTTAAGAGTAAGGTTACTACTCATGTCTTCCTTCTAACCGTCGCTATATATTGTATGTGTATGTGTTTGTCTATATTTATTTATTTATTTATTTATTTATGTCTATCAACTGTCCCCTCTTGATTCTCACTTTTAACAGTCGATTAGCTAGACTTGTATCTTTTGCATATAACGTAAACTTTATGAATTGTCTGATTTAAAAAATAATTGATTTGATAGCCCTATGTATGCAACTAAGGGGACATTTTTCCAACAGTTTCATGAAAAAGAAAAATACTATTATTTATTTTTCCGACAGCTTCATGAATTCGGAGCGGTCAATATGAATTTATTTTTCTGAATATAAGACACTGAGGCGATTGTGTTTGCTATGGAGGATCTATATGAAATTATGTACTATTTATTTTTTTCCCCAAATCATTCACTCCAGAAAACTCATTTTACTTTAGGCTTAAATTTCGGACATTAGGTGATTGTGTTCTTTCGAGGGGTGTTCTAGTTTATGGCCCTGTATTGGGTAAAAGGGTTAATCCATTTGAAGATAGAATGGATATTTTAGTAATTTTCAATAAATTTGCTTTTTAAAAATGTTCTATAGTCAAATCATATAAAACCAAATAGCCAATCCCTTAATCTGATACAAACAGATAATCTTTAATTCTAAACTCTAATGTTATGAAGCTGCTTGTGAATCGGTCAATTTCAAGAATAAGGTACTCGAAATGTTACTCAATCACTTTAAATTTGCTTGATTGGTAAGTGTCCAATATTTCTCTATGCTTGATTGATTGGGTAGACAAATGAAGTGACCAAAGAGGTGATTTTGTGGGTTGAGAAGGAGACCCGCGGTCTTATCAAACTGAGTGTGAGCTAATAAATTCAATGCATCAACACAAAGGATTACGACTTCCACCTCTCTAATGGGAGCTCCATAAAAGTTTCATTCATGCCCAGTTGGAATTATCAATGCGTGAAAGCCTATCAATGTTTCATTCAATGTATTAATTCTGTCATATAAACAAGGGCTGGATAACCATCATTTCTCCATGTGCATCTTCTTGCCGGATGCCAGGGACGGGCTGCAATCTTCGATACATAAGAGGTCTCTTCTATATCTCTGGACGGGATCAAGTAGGATCATATGTTGGGAGGAACCATCAGGAGGCCCTTCCGGAGCCGCCTCTTCTGAACTCAAAGATGAAGGGGCATTTATAAACTTGCCTGATCAACGCTCGGGATCGGGCACACCCGCATTAAAGGGATAGTCGGGGGAGACTTGAGAATATACATGATTTTCCGAAAACCAAATAGACACAGAGCGGGACCTAAGTAGGGTTGGGCCATCAACTCAATGTAACACCCCAACTCGCATAATCTGAACCAATGAGTTAGTGAATCGGGTTGCTACTAATTTGGCATTCGCATGCATAATATTTAGAAAAACATTTAAAATTAAACATCATTTCACATTTATTTAAAAGTAATTCATAATTAATTGGAGTAAACAAAATCAAACATTGCAAAAGCCTTTGGAAACAACATTCAACATTCTTGTAATTTAAATAAACAAGTTTAACAAAACAATATATAGTTAATTAATTAATTTAAATTAATCAGTTTCGGGCCATCCACCAGCGTCACGCATCGTTGTCCTTCACACTGCTCCTCGTCCAATCCTTGATCCATACTTGTGAAAGTTGAAAGCGTGGAAGTATCTAACGCCAAAACTAATTAATAGACAAGCGACCATCAACATATAATCACACAATATCAGAACAATCAACAAGTATCATTTTTGAGTATCATTATCAGTTTTTCATTTAGTTCACTTCAGATCTTGTTTGTTCTTCTACACTTAACCTAATAGGCTAAGGTTTAACCACATGAGATTAGAGTCATGGTTATTCCAGATGTTATTTGTACCCCAAAGGTTTGTATCCTATTTGTATACCGCATATGTGCACCAACATTTTGTGTTGGTGTAATGCTAATTTTTGTTAATGCATCAATACTTTGTGTTAGTGTAAATTTTTATTAACACACCAACATTTTGTGTTAGTGTGAATAATCAAAATTTTAGTGTATTCTTTTGGTGTAAGTTGTGGGTACAATTTGTGGTGTTATTTGCAACTCTTCGAACGACGTGCAAAATATCGTCTCTTTTAAAATCACTTTAATTTTAAATTGGTAGAGTAATAAAAAGTAAAAATTACATCATTCAAAAGTATATGAAAAATTCTACAAAACAAGATGTGACAAGAATATTTTATTTTATCAAATGATCAACCAAAACGAGTAAACAAACAAAAGTTATCGAGAAGCCAGAATAGTAACCGTGGCATTCTTTCTGGGACGGAGGAAGTAAATGTTTATAAATTCTGTTTGATTGGTTTACGTGTTGTCAAGTGAATTTTGCATATTTTTCAAAACTTTATATTATCCCGCGCACTGAATTTGTGCAATTACTTCCAAATTGATAATAATAGAATGCATAATAGCCACACATTTTGTGAAGGGCTTATGGCGGGGTTGGAGTGGAGGTACAGAGACAGAGGTATGGTGGAGGTTTAGGGGAAGAGTTAGGGGTAGGAACCTTATATTTTACGAACGGAGTAGTGAAAGTGCTTCAAAATGAAAGTGACACGGAGTGTCACCGTAGTCCGGTATCACTAGAACCCCACCGATAAACAAATTAAACTTAATAAGTAAATTATTCTAGCTCATAATTAATTACACTTTTTTACATTAGCGGGTAATTCTTCCCACTTTCTTCATTCTAATAGAAATTTTTTATTGGTTCACAAATTTGTGGATCTTCTCACATAATTTTTTTAATAATATTATATATTTAGAAAAAACAAATATGTATTTAAGTAGTAAAGAAATACTTATTTTAATCATATGTAAGACTATAATGGACCTTAAATTCACTTTAAAATTTGCTTAAAGGAGGAGGACAATAAACTTTGATGTGACCAAACAATAAAAAAGAATAATGATTGAAAAACGATACCGAGTCATTCTGGTAAAAAGTAGAATGAAAAAGGGCGATTTAAATTTGAGGATGGAATATTGATTTGATATGGTATAAAGTAAAAATAAAGCTAGAAATAGAAAGTTTCTAATGGACAAAATAAATAGAAATTAAACTATATAATGGACAAGCCTCAAGTAAATAAAAACCATAATGTATATTAGTAGTAAGAAAATGATTTCATTTTATTTAATTTTTTTAGAACTTTCAAATTTTTACAATGTATTTCATTATATCAATATGCAATACAAAATTGATAGTAATTGATACTTAAAAATTTATTTAATTTTATTCAAAAAAGTCAAGTTAGACGAGAAAGTATTTCTCCATCTGGCCGATAATTTTCTTCCTATTGCGCGCTACGATGTTTGATCGAAGTTATTTTTAAATTATTTTATATGAAAAATGGTATGAAATTAAAAAAAATATATATTCAAAAATTACATCAAGAGATCTACAAAACTAGAAGTGGCACAACTATATTATTTTATGAAATGGGTAACGAAAATAGGCCAACAAAATAAATATAGTATGACCTTGTAAATAATGAATGAGAAGATAATATTTGGATGGACGGAATGTTTTTTCTTTTTACTTTTTTGTGTAATTCCTAATAAGGGGCTTTGTATTTGGACCAGTAACACTATCCATGTCCACCTTGGGCTCTGTTATTTCGATCCAACCCGAACCCATTGAATAGAAAACTGATCCCTCATCCAAATCTCATCCACCACCACTATGACCCTCCAATAAGAGATTGGCATGTCAGCAAACGCAAATCCAAATATCAAATTTGTACAGTCAAAAACCATTTCTAACAAACCCCAAAACTCACAAACAAAAAAATCACAGTTCATTCATTCATTCAAAGAAAGAAAAGAAAGAAAATGGCAGCCAGTAGCATGATGATGATGAATGGCACTTCTCTTCCCCAGTTTAATGGCGGACTCAACCCCATGGCTTACCCTATGAGGAAGAAGACGAGTTTGGTGGTCAGTTTCCCTTTCTCCACCTTTTAATTCCACGCTATAATGCATGAGCGTTTGAAGGGTTTGATCTTCTCTTCTCTGAATCATTGATTGAGTAAATGTACTATTCAAATTCAGAATTTTAAGTTCAAGGACCTTAGTGTCAACAGAACCTTGCCGATTTCACTTATTTTAACTTTCATTTGAGAATAACGTTTCTGATTAACGTTAGTGTTAATTTTACATACTTTGGAGATTGATATAAGAAATGTCTAATGCTAAACCTATGAATATAGGGAGTATAAATTTAGCTAATGTCGTGTTTGTTTTAAACTCTGGCTTAAATAATTCAATTATTCTACTCATGGGAATCTGATTTTCAAAATCAATCCATCAAATCCGTGATTCTCTAGAATCAACAAAAGAATCAAGGCATTAATTATCTAGGATCAACAAAAGAATCAAGCAATTGATTCGGGCAAAATTCTAGGAATCAGAATCGTGAAGCAAAAATCGCGATGGCTGATTCTCAGAATTTACTAGATTCAAAATCGAGAAAAGTTCACCATTTATCTCCAAATTTTTCAAAAAATTGCACGATTTACCGTTGGATATTAAAAAACACTAAATATCTCCAAATTCTTCAGAAATTACACAGTTTACCCCCGAACATTAAAAGTTACACCAAATACTCCTAAACTCTTCTGAAATTGCACGGTTTACTCCTGAATATTTAAATAAAAACAGCAGTTTTGGGGAAGGGTACTTTGGAAAATTCACAATGCCCAAATGAATCATACTCGCAATTCATGTACGCGGGAGCAACGCACTCCCTATCTAGCATTTTAGGATTAACGGTGCAACGTTTTAAGTTGTTCAAGGGTATTTGGTGCACTTTTTAATGCTCGGGGGTAAATCGTGCAATTTTTGAAGAATTCGAGGGTAAACGGTGCACTTTTAATTTTCAAGAATAAATCATGCAATTTCTAACGAGTTCAAGGTAAATGTTGCACTTTGTTCATTCAAAATATAAGCAAAAAAGAATCTGACCCAATGCTTCGTCTTCATTTGGAAATAACATTTATCATTAGCATTTGTATTTCAGATAATTTTATAAGTCTACAGATTAATGTATAAAGCATTAAAGCTAACACTAACGTGCGCTTATAGAATAAAGGCATGTTGTCAACGACGTTTTCAAAGTTAATCTATACTATTAAAAAAAATTCAAAATAAAGATGAGTATCAATAAAGCAACTCCAAAATAACGCCTAAGTTTAGCTTGTCTTTCTCAAGAAACAAACTAAACTGATCAAACTCAACTAAATCCGAGTTGCGGTTGATGTTCGAACACATAACCTTTAGGTCACTCAGATATCATGTCAAAGACACAAATTCAACAAAAAATAAAGCTTGCAATTGTAAGCCCAAGAGACAATTTTTATACCCTAACATCTATTATTCATGACTTGAATTACCATCCTTAGCTATAAACTTGCTTGAATAAGTTTTGTTTTGGCCATATATACATGGAGGCTGCTGGAAAACGAATGAACCACCGCAGGGGACACGGCGCACTGGGAGTTCGTTGCGAATTCATCGGCTCACCCACCAATCTGGTAACATAACTTATGTGACACCAAGTTTGACACCAAGTGTTTCACAAGCATATACAGACAATAATTGTCTGCGACAGATAATCGTTGAAACAAACGTTATGTTGTCTATGCATGTATTTGAATAACTTAGTGTCAACTTTGGTGGGTTTCTAACATGCGTGAATAAGCGATCCCGCGCGATCGAAATAAAATGTTTTTTTTACGAATGAATAATGAATGAACAGATAATGGTGACATCGACGAGCCTAATGCTATTCGCGGGGAGGTTCGGATTGGCCCCGTCAGCGAACCGGAGGGCAAATGCGAGCCTGAGGCTCGAGAGGTGGGACTCGGGGCTCCAGACCGGCGACCCTGCCGGGTTCACGCTGGCTGATACCTTAGCTTGTGGCTCTCTTGGCCACATTATTGGGGTTGGAGTTGTTCTTGGCCTCAAGAACATGGGCGCCATATGATTCCAATACATTTCTCTCTATCTGTTTTTTTTCTTTTGTTTTGTCTATATTTTTTTTTTTGAATTGTTATTTATGGAAGGAGAAAAGATACTATTATATGCATCTTTCCTTAACAATGCCATTCGAAATGCTCCTTTTCATATTGGCATGTTTGAGTCTTTGAGATATACTCTGTTTTTTGAACTATTTATTTGAATAACTATATTGAAAATAAATACACTTATTTATTGTACACAAACAATAATGAATACTCTCTCTGTCTACTTTCGAAATGTGTTCACAAAATTTACAATTTTCTTTATTTTGAAAAAGTAAAGAATATATGATGCACAATTCTATACTTTCTCCTTAATAAATTTCAGTCAATCACAATTTATTTTTCAAAATTTATTAAACTAGGATGAAGGAAATATATTTTCCTCTGATTTTTGCTATTAGTATATTTTAAAATATACTATCTGTGTTCCAGTATATATATTTGTCAGTATTTATTTTTTGAATCAAATTAGATGAGTTTTAGAACTCAATTACTCCATAAATAAAATATGTAATGCATATTAGCATAAAAATAATTTGTTTTGATTTATCTTGTTGAAAATTTTTTATATTTATTTAAAAATATTAATATACAATACACATTAAAATTAGTTGATGATGAAAGTTCTTATTTAATTTGAAAAATTCAAATTAGACTAATACAATATGATAGGAGGATGAATTTAATTTGTATTATTGATCAAATTAATGTTTGATACAAAAAAATGAAACCATAAAAAAGAAAACAGAAATAGGGAGTGGGATATGCTGTAAAGAAAAGTGCATTCAATATTCGAATAAATGATACCTTCAGAAAAAATTCGAATAAATGATGAAAAAATAAATGAAAAAAAAAACAATCACATTACCGTGCAACCATTCGGATTCTCATCGCTAAAATAGTTATACTGATACGTCTGGTAATAACCATTTGGTGGTGGCGGCGGGGGTGGACCCTGGTAGTTTCCCGGCGGCGGTGGCGGTGGACCCTGGAAGTTTCCAGGTGGCGGCGGCGGCGGCGGCGGCGGAGGTGCCCAATGGTACTGGTGGGAGCTGTACTCCACCGGGAGCGGAGTGGAAGGGTGTGGCTGGCAGTTACGGGCGTTGCGAGAATCGTGGTGGAAATCACAAGGGTAATCTCGGAAATTCACCTTATATCCCCTTGCCACCGTCATCTCAATGTTTTCCAACCTAGGGATCCTCGAAAGGTGTTCGATCCCGTCCCAATATCCTCTCATGTGCGCCGGCGGCGCTCTGAGGTTGAACAACGGCTGGCCGTGCGGCGGCGGCGGCAGAACTTCCATCTGTGGCCTATGCATGATTTCCATAGGTGGCTCCATTTGCAGCTGAGGCGGCGGCGGAGGCGGACGTGCGGCGGGTTCCTGTACCGCCTGGGGTGGCGGTGGCGGAGGCGGTGGTTCCGCTGCCTTTACCGGTGGAACTGGCGGAGGCGGAGGCGGCGCCGCCGACTTCGAACAACAAGGACCCTTCATGCAACATCATGAGACGCATCTAAATTAACTTTTGCACAATTTTTATATTTAAATTCAACTTAAAATTTTCAGATATTTTGAATTCTATAAAGGCTTCGTTTGGTACATGGAATTCAAAGTATGGAATTGGAACTAAGGATTTCAATTTTAATTCTGGTGTTTGGTAGCAAAAAACTTATGTGGATTTGGAATTGATAGTACAAAAAATGAATTGGAATTGTTGAATTCAATTCTATGTAATTGAATCTCATGAAATTTCAATTTCAATTCAATTCCAATTCCTTCAATTCCGTATACCAAACGGACCCAAAACGAAATTAAATTTCTAAGAGTATATGCAATATTGAAATATTTACATAAAATCTTAAATTTCTGAGACCATTAGCATAAAATTTTCCAATTTTTAACAAAAAATTAAATAAACAATTAGTTTATGCATGATTTTTTTTCAAATTAACGCATAAACTAAATCAAAAATCAAACTACTCATAAAATAGTTACATCGAATTAATTAAAAAAATTACATACTCTGCATTTGGGAGGACGAATTACTGCAGGATCCATGGCCGCAAGAGGAGAAATATTTTTTAATATTGTTTAGTTAAAAAAAAAACTATATATACGGATTCCATATAGTATGAAAGGGATATGAAAAATAATAGTGCTATTTAGAAATTTGGTAGCCTTGGTATTTAAGGAAATCCGAGTAAAATTTTTAGATACAATAATAAGTGATTTGATTTTATACACTCCCCATTAAAATTACTCCATCTCATAAAAACAACTATAAACTTGACTTTTATGGAGTTCACAAAAATGGGAAACAAAACTATGTATGGTTCGAATCTATTTTGGTTGAAAGAGAAATTTTATGAAATACACATAATTACTTTTCAGAAAGAAAATAAAAGTCACTTTCATCTTTTTTCATCCAATTTTTTTCCTAGTTTCTATTAAAAAATGAATTCTACCGTACTAATTTTTAGAGTAATTTCATAATTGATCTTTTATAACAAGGAAGTTTCTATATTTGGCCATTTATTATCAAATATTGCTCTCATAGTCGTTTAATGGATATTTTTCCAAAAATAATCTTTTTTTAATCTTCTGTCATGTTGGTGTTAATTTAAATGGTAAGTATAATTTAACATTAACTTTAAGTTCACTGACGTATTCTGATATTGGTTAGACGAATAGCACAAAAATAATGACTATGATTGTAACATTTTTAAGCTGAGATTCTGACGAAAGACCACAGCTGTAGATTATGGTTGTAGTATAAAGAACCTGTAATTCACAAATGACACATCAAAAGTAACCTTTGAAATTGTCTATGAGAAAAAAGATATATTATCATTGTGAAATTATACTTTTAGCCTTCAAATTAATGTCAAGATGATAGAACAAAAAAAATATTTGTGGAAAGATTCACAAAGAAGGACCAACGAGGTAATATTTGATAACAGAGGATTAAATAGGGAAACCCTACTATTATAAATGACCAATTATGAAATTTACTCCAATTTTTTTCATACTTATCACATCATAGTTATTCAATATTAGTTTATTCATCACATTACTATTTTTATCTATCACATCAAATCTAATTTGAGAACGTCAAAATAGAATTAATGTTCCCTTAACATTTATAATTAAAAGCCAAAAGGAGAAAGAGACTTTACGACAAATAAAATATTACATAATTAAGGAACTTATTAACAAATTGTAAAAATAGTAGTACACACTTATCTCTAAAATAAAAGTAACATATTTTTATTTACAAAATAGAAAATTACACTATGACAACATGACATTGTAAATTGCATTTCACGATATTTTTAGTATTATATGTTGATATTATTGGTTTGGAAAGTGCAATTCTCTCTTATCATTTTCTGGCTATTTTCCGTCAAAGAATGGGTGGTGCCACCTATTTTTCAAACCACATGGGGGGAAATAGAGCTCTTTTCTCATTTTTTGTTTGCTTTTTGGTTTTTATGCTCTTACTATGTATTCTTTACCTTCATCTTTAATGAGACTTGACTTGTTTTCTTCTTAAATTATGTAGAGAAACTACAAGGAGAAGCTCATTATAAAGCAGCAGGCAGCATCCGGATCGGATTCCAATTCCCTAAATTTTGATGACATTGATGAGGAGGAACTAGAAGATTACCTTGGCTTGTACACGGAGGTGGTGGGGAACAAAAAAATAGGGTCTTTGCCTGTGAAGCTGGTGCTTCTCATGCATTGTCTTCGGACGGGATTAGCTACGAAGGCTATACTGCCCAACGAAGAGCGAATTGGAACAGAAATTAGAGAAGAAATTTGAAAAAAAGTTTATGGAAAAAAGTGCCGATCTTGAGAAGAAATATCGAGCTCAATCCCAAGAATTGTTAACTAAATTTCAGGGATTGAAGGATCCGGTCACTTTTTTGACCCAAGGNCCCCCCGAAGCCCAAGCCCTTTGATGAATCAGCATCTCACCCCTGCTTATTTCTATGCCTCCCAACCTCTCAGCCTCATATGCTAGTGTTTCATGAACCTCAGCACTCCCCAATCCCAAATGTTCAAAATTTATCTGAAGAACGCAATTCAATAAATTATGATGTTGATAATTTTTTAAATACCTATAATTTTTAAAACTTTATTGTGATTTGTGTGATGCATGTGATTGACATTATTTATTTCTGATATTCGGATGATGATGATTGTCTTAGATGTGGAGGACACACTTATTTTTTAAATTTAATTACCTAATTCTGTTATTATAGTGTGATTTATTAGGTGCTTTTAGTGTTGCATAATCATATTAATATCTGCGGATTTGTTTTTAAAATCATTTTTATTTTTAGGCACAGATATGTTTGTGACAAAATATTTGATTTTTCAAATTTTTTCACGGGTCGATTTTTTTCAAAATTATGTTAAAATACAGGCATGGAATGGTTCGTGCGTATGATAATGTGTGAGGTACGATATTGCAATGGAAACGGTCGTTGCTTTGTCATGGCTATGTAAGAACAAATATTTTCCACGAAAACGTTCCATGCCTATTTGTCACGGACACTTTCCGTCGTTTTGTCGTGTCTATGTAAGAACTCCGCTTGGCTTGAGAAGATTCTGACTCATACTTCACGTACCTTCTTTCAGTTGATGATGACCTCTTTGTAGATTCCTACCCGCAAAACTCTTCATTCCAATAATGCTAACTTGGGGACTTACTTTCTTGAGTAATTTAAAACTAATTTGATTAAACCTTCTTGTTTATTCAAAACACAATCTGCACAACGGTTGTCTCACAATCTATATAACCAAACTTAGTTGAATATAGATCCTTGCCGATTGGCTCTTGATCTGCTCTGTGGCACAAACACAACCACAATAATCTCTGTGGTGGACCTGGAACGGATTTGGTGTTGTGTGCCGTCGGTTTTTGGACGGCGGCTGCTTCACACGCTCAAAATTGGGACGGCCGCGCGTGGACTCCAGCGGTGGTGAGACCTTTGCTTAGCTTCTAGGCGGTCGTGGGACACGGGGTCTGGAAACTTCTTTGTACCGTGACCTTCGCTAGGACGGCGGCGACGATCTAGAAGCTTGATGCGGCGGCGATTCTCCTTTGTTCCTGCGGATCTCCTCTACTGCTATCTTGTTGCGCACCTCTGATAGAAAAATTCAGCACCGTTTCCCCTTTTTCTTTCTTGAACAACCGATCAACAAAACAACAAAAATCCCA